CATTTATCTATTTCTTTCTATCTCATATTACTCCTAGTCTTTCATCTCTTTTATACCTTTCTATTTTCCTATATTTACTCTCATTTTTTCTTTTTCGAGGAACTGATTGTCTTACGTGCCATTCGTGACGTTAACGTTCCAAAGTTCCTACAAGACGATCTAAAGCTATTCCGAGGCATCGTTTCCGATCTCTTTCCACATGTCGAGTAAGGATTTAAATAATGCATTGTATATCAGCAAGAGAATATGAACTAAGAGACGGAATCCTCTTGTAACCATCATGTGCACAGTTTGATGCTATTTTTAGCTTGGAGATATTTTGAGCGAAGAACCTGATTAGTTGATTTCTTGAGGGTAGGCGCGGGTTTCAGTCTTGCAGTCAACAAAGCCTGTGTTTTTGTCGTGGACGTAGCAAAATATGGCGCTTTTCGTGCCCTAAAACGAGGCATTAAAGGGAAGCATGATTATCATTGGCATTGTAACGAGTTAAATATAGCATCAATGATTCTAAAAATAGCATCAAAGTGTGCACATGATGGGGCACGGGGATTCCTTCTCTTAGTTCATTTTCTCTTGATATCAGCCATTCCAAAAACTAACTCCTCCGCTTTACTTCACCAGAGAACAGCCCGTTGACTATGGTGTTCTGGAGGACTGTATTCGAAAGAGCTGCTTGAAGAGTGGATTGGAGGATGTCGAAGGTGAGCTTGTCTGTAGAGACGTACCTTTCTGTCATCTTTTCACTTTTCTAGTGTTTATATACCGTAGCACACATGTAAACCGCCTATAACTAATAGGCTTTATTTATTTCAAGAGGGTAAACACATAACAGTAGTTCAAAACACTAATAACTCTGTGGCCCTCAAGTCTAAAAATAGATAGATAAAATAATATAGCTAATGATAAAAATTATGTACACCTACTTGCAAGAACGCTGCCACACGAAAATAGAACACCAGTGACCCAGTGGGATAGGAGTTACATTAAAACTAGCTAAAACGTTCCTTACATTACTTGAGCATTGTGTATGAAAGCTGTTTCATATGTAAGGCATAAAATCAAGGATGGTGTAGTGGTAGTGTACTTGCCTTGCACCCCTGGGGTCTTGGGGTCATTTCTGGACTTGACATCGCGGGAGTAAAGTTTGTTAGGTTCTCCATTGATTGAGTTCGATCTAGTGTGAGTTAGCCATGCCCTGACTTAGATCAGCCCAGAGGTTGTTTCAGGGTTTGATCTGTGAGTTAGCCATGCCCTGACTTAGATCAGCCCAGAGGTTGNAGGTTGTTTCAGGGTTTGATCTGTGAGTTAGCCATGCCCTGACTTAGATCAGCCCAGAGGTTGTTTCAGGGTTTGATCTGTGAGTTAGCCATGCCCTTACTTTGATCAGCCCAGAGGTTGTTTCAGAGTTCGATCTGTGAGTTTGCCATGCCCTGACTTAGATCAGCCCAGAAGTTGTTTCAGGGTTCAATCTGTGAGTTTGCCGTGTCCTCACTTAGATTAGACCAGAGGTTGTTTCAGGGTTCGATCTGTGAGTTAGCCATGCCCTGATTTAGATCAGCCCAGAGGTCGTTTCAGGGTATCAATCAAATTTGAAGGGTTTAAATTCATCTTTCCTTTTGCCGCAAGGTTTCGTGACCAAGACTATTCAGCTATACGAGACAACTGTAGTACGACATGGACTTATGTTGGTTGGCCCTACAGGGTCGGGCAAAACACAGGTACGTCAAAACCATTACAATATATTGGCTTTTTGGCATGTTCTACTTCTGTCTTCTTTTAATAAACGTGGCTTTGGAGGCCTGTAGCGTTAACTTGGAGGGAAGGGGGTGCGTTATAGAAAGCGGATGGTAATTACGGGGGGGGGGGGGGGGGGAGATTTAGACAATAAACGAGAGCGATACGATCGTCTTTTTTTGTACGAATCTTTTCCCGCTGCATTTACCACTTCTGTTCTGCTTCAGTTTGAGATCTTTATATCTTATATTGCTATTGCCGATATTATAGTAATTGTAATACTTTCAGTGCTACAAGATTCTTAAGAAAGCCATGACGACCCTCAAGGGTCAGATGTCACCAGCAGGATCGCCTTTTGAAGAAGTCCACACGTTCGTTTTGAACCCTAAATCCATCACTATGGGACAGTTATACGGCGAGTTTGACTTGCTTACCCATGAATGGTAAGCAAAACGTCCGATCCAGCTTTCATTGTTTTTAACAGAGTTTTTAAGTTCTGGCGTATTTCCGGGCGAACTGCTAGCTCACAAAATAAAACGGAAAATGCTGGCAATGTCTTAACATGCACCCGAAACAAGTCATCAGAACTTTGGACAGCACATCTCATAATGTCATGATGAAATAGTAAGAAAAATATTTTTGGAACTGCTTTTCGTTTTGGACCGGGAAGTTTTTTTCCATACAATGACGCCACACTTACCTTAGGCGTAATGTTTTCCCATTTCATGCCAGGTCTCATTCCCTAGAGTATAATTTCTTGGTTTAACAAAGAATCTTATCCTAAAGAGTGGTCTGAAATGTTAGTTAATTATCTTATTTTGTATTATATATTTTTTTTAGGACTGATGGTATATTGTCTTCCATGATTCGTCTCGGGTCTTCGAGTACCACCCCAGATTTAAAGTGGTACATCTTTGATGGCCCTGTAGATGCGGTTTGGATCGAGAACATGAACACCGTGCTAGACGACAACAAAAAACTATGTTTAACAAGTGGAGAAATTATCAAACTGTCTGAGGTATTTGACATCTGTATTTCGCCAATAAGCCACGAGACTGATGTGGAACCATGAAGAATACCGTTGTTTGACTGAAATACGGTTTTTTATGTTTGTGTGGAAAAGTCTTCAAAATGACATTCATTATTTGACTCGGATAATGTGGAAAAGGCCCCACAACTGATCCTTCAAGCATGCTGTTGTATGATTCAAATGAGCTTTGGATTGATGTGGAAAAAGCCCCATAACTGATCCTTGAGGCACACTGTTGTATTACTCAAA